CAGATTAAATCCCACCAATTTTTTTTTTTTTTTTTCTGACCAAGAGCCGGCAAGTTGGGCACCAGACTGAGCCCTGGCGAGCCTGTTCCGGGAGCCCCGGGGGCAGCGCTGGCACCGTCAGTGCTCGGACGGACGGGGCGACACCCGGGGCTGATCAGCCCGGTCTCGCCGCGGCAGCCCGGGCGGCACAGCGGGACCCGAGCCCGCTTCTCCTCCTGGATGCGGCACCGCCCGGTGCAGCGGGACCGGCCCCAGCGATGTCAGCGATGCCGGGGACTCGGCTCCAGCCACACAGGGCACGGCCGGCAGGGCTGTGCGGGTGCGGGGCCGCTCCCGGTGCGCGGATGCCCCGGGCGGGCACCGCCACCGCGGCCGCGATTCCCCCGTGATGAGGAGGTGTCCGCCCGCCCCTCCAAAGCCGCGGGTGCCGGGACCGCCTTACCATCTGCTGCGCCGCCCGGAAGGTGGCATCCAGCATCATCAGCTTCCAGGGGTCGGCCACGGCGCTGGGCAGCGGCAGGTACACGTAGTAAGCGGTGAACGCGGCCAGCGCCGGCAGCAGCACCCAGGCGGCCCGCATCGCCCCCGCCGCGCCGTGTGCGGCCGCCTCGCCGCGGCTCCCGCGGGGCGCGCACCGCCCCCGGCCCGGCCTCCCCCGGAGGAAGTGCCGGCGCTTCCTCCCGGCCCGCGGGCCGAGTGCCCGGCCCGGGCCGAGCCCCGCCGCCCTCCCAGCGCCGCCCCGCCCGGGCCCGCCCGCGCCGCCGCCCCGCAGGGTCCGCCGCGCTGCCCGGGGCGGCTCCGCTGCGGGCGGGGATCCCCCGCGGGAAGGGGATGTGCGGATACACGAGGTGTGGGCTCGTGGGGCTGCTCCACCGCATGCTCGGACAGCGGAGGCGTCCGCATCTGCAGTGCTGGCTCCTGACACCCCGCACCCGCTCCTGACACCTCGCATACGCTCCAGCACCTCAATATCCTTCCTGAATTGAGCGTCCCATAACTGGACGCAGCACCTCCAGTACTGTGTCCAGTTCTGGGCCCCTCATTTCAGGAAGGATATTGAGGTGCTGGAGCATGTCCAATGAAGGGCAACGAGACTGGTCAAGGGACTTGAACCCAAGTCTTGTGAGGAGAGGCTGAGGGAGCTGGGGTTGTTCAGCCTGGAGAAGAGGAGGCTCGGGGGAGACCCTATCGCTCTCTACAACTCCCTGAAAGGAGGTTGTAGCGAGGTGAGAGTTGGTCTCTTCTCCCAGGCAACCAGCGACAGGACAAGAGGGCACGGTCTTAAACTGTGCCAGGGGGAGGTTTAGGTTAGACATTAGGACGAAGGTCTTTATAGAGAGAGTGATCAGACATTGGAATGGGCTGTCCAGGAGGTAGTGGATTCACCATCCCTGGAGGTATTTAAGAAGAGACTGGACGTGGCACTTAGTGCCATGGTCTAGAAGACAAGGTCATGTTAGGTCAAAAGTTGCCCTTGATGATCTCAGAGGTCTTTTCCAACCTAGCTGATTCTGTGATCCTGTACCCACAGCCCATTGCCCACCTTGGGTTGGCAAAAGCACCCAAGTGGCTTTGGGAAGACTGACCTGGCAGCAGCTAAACCCACAAGCAAACCTCTCCAGTTTCATGGAATCATGAAACATCAGAGTGGTTTGGGTTGGAAGTGACCTTAAAGGTCTTCTAATTCCAACCTCCCTGCCACGGGCAGGGACACCTTCCACTAGTCCAACTTGATCAGAGCCTTGTCCAAGCTGGCATTGATTTTCCATTTTTAGGTGTTGTAGCACTGGAAGATGAGCACGGTGGCAGCTCTTTGCCAGCAGAGAGCGGTAGCATCAGTGTTCAGGCAGGGTTGGCCCTTCTTCATTGAGCCCTGAGGCTGGGGAGGTGAGAGGAAGGCAATGGGAATCAATTCAAGTGAGTCTGTGAGGATTCCAGATCCAGCATGTTTCCAGGAGGAACTGAGGGACTCCCTAATTTTAGCAGAAGAAACCATACTGTTTCTTATCTAACACATCACAAAACAATTCCAGAAAGATTACTTTTTAAGGTGCTTTTATTTTTTAATTTTGCCTTAGACTGGGAATTTTGGGGGGCTTTTTATTTTTTTTTTCTTTGCCCTAGGTCAGTAACAAATTTTGGTTTAATGCAGGAATATTTCTTGTACTTAAGACAAGAAAAAATTTTGAAATAAGTCTTTCTCATCCCAAACACTATAGAGTTCAGCATTCACACAAATCTCTACTTATTCACAGTTCTACCTTCAGCAAATTAAAATATTTATTTAAATAGTCAGATTCATGTGCATTATTAATTTAATGCAGAAAAAGGAATGAGCACTAATTTTAGCAATGACATTGCTTTAAAAAAATGAATTCGTAGTACTAAAAAGTCACATAGAAATTATTTAGAGTCCTGGAAAGCACAAGTTTCCTTTAAAAATTGACATGGAAAGGTAATAAAAGAAAAATATGTTTCTAAGAAGTAAAAGGTCAGCTTTTTGTCTAGCTTTCCTGGAACTGAAGTACCACTTCACTGATTCTAAAGGTTGCAGAAGAAAGTTTCTGGAATTTGTGAGGAAATCAGGCACTCAAGCATCTTTAACCTTTTTTCATAACAACAGCAGATGGAGTTTCTGTGATTCTCATGGTCCACTTGGGTAGACCACAAGTGTGAAGAAACAAACTATGCCAAGAAAGCAGCACAAGGTGAGATTCCTGAGGTCTCCAGCTTATTATACCGAGTTGTCCCTTTCTGTATTATTTTGTGCTCACACCTTCTCTTTTACCTTGTGCCCTGCTCCCCTGCCTCCCTTGCTTTGCATACTCCCATTCCTTTGCTTTCCCAAGCTCCTGCCCCTGAAGCCCACACCCAGCATCTTGGAGTGTCATAATTGGTGCCTATCTCATTGTTCCCAAACCTTTGGCAAAACTAGCTCTAGTCCCAGTCCTCTCTCATCTACTCGTTTCCTCAAAAGAGAGAGAAGGCTGGATGGGATTTTTCTGAGGTTTCTCATGCTCCCACTGACTCCCCACATGCATTCTGTGCTTGATCTCTCCCCTTCCTCACATTTTGAAAGCTGCTGCTCTGGCTGAACTTAATTGATAGCTCTTTGAGGAATCTGTTGTTTTCCAGGTGCCTATAAAGAAGTCAGTTGGTAAAAAAACCCCAAACACTGTGATTTGGGAAAGGTTACTTTCTTTAAAAAAATATAAAATAGATAAATTAAACATGAGAGTGCTTGCAAGTTATCTAGGGACCATCAGGGGTTCCATCAGCTCTTCTGATGTGGCCTCCTTGACTTCTTGCACAGGTATGAGATCCCTGCTGCGATGTAGCTGTTGTGACAGGATTCATTTATGGACTTAATCTCCTGAAACCCAATCCCTGTGAGTGTCACTGTGAAGGGAAACTATTTAACTACTAGATAAAAGTTATACTCCTAGGTTACTGAAGCCTAGCTTCAGCACTGTGAGGAAGAGCAAGTTTCAGCTGCATGTTACATTTTACAAAACACAAAATAATGGATGTTTCCATTTCACAGCCTTTTGTAAGAAAAGCACTTAGATTTTCAAACATCAGACATACAAAGAATAGTAATCTATAATGATCTGAACTTTTGGGAGAATAAATGTACTGGATTAAAAAAACCAACAAAACAAAACAAACAAACAACCCCCCACCAAACAAACAAACAAAATTCCCCCCAAAAAACCCAAAATAACAACAACAACAACCCCAAAACAAAAACAAAAACAAAAAAAAACCAAACCACAAGTAACTCAGTTACTTTTCTTAAGTGACTACCTAAAAGTTCTGTCAGTCCCAGGAAGGACAACTTAAGGCAGTTCACCAGAATATCAGAGTTGGTTTTTGAGATAATTCTGGATTTTCAAGTAAATTAAAAAAAAATGGCTTATGCAAGCCCCTCCTTATATGCACAGGGAGCCTCTATTTATGTATTGAATGTTTAGATATCACCTAAATTGTTTTATAAACCTTTAACTGAGAAGTGATGCATGTATCATCTGACAATCCCCAGCCCTGATAAATACGCTTCTTCTGCCTTTGCACACAGAAAACTTTAAATAGAATTTTTTTTTTTTTTTTTTTTAGGATCTAGAGGTAAAGCGGAAATCAATGTGCAATCAATCACCAGTATCTTTTCCAGAAACTATATTGCAAAAGTAAGACTGACTCCCGTATTGCAGAACTTTTTCCAAAACGTAGGAGAAATATGGTTCCAGGTTTCAGGTGTGGGAAAAACCGAACA